TGGGTGTGTGGCATCACCCGTTGGGGTAAAATTAGGGTTATATTCGGATAATGGAAAATAAAATGGAAACTACTACATAGTATTTTGGGGTTATATTGGGATAATGGAAAATAAAATGGAAACTACTACATAGTATAGGGTCTTTCCAGAGTGTAAGAATGTATGACAGGCACCCGAGTGCATTCGGCTCTTTTCCAGCGTCTATGAGTACCAGGTGCAGGAAGTCATGAGCATCTTTGAATACAATGGGCAGACAGAAGTTATGCTTTATCAAAGTTCTGGTTCAGCTTCCGACTGCTTGCTTGGCTAACCTTGCGCAGGTGCCAGATATGCAGAGGCAGTGCTTCCTCTTTTACAGCACCGTTGTCGGCTGGACAGTCTTCAATACAGTCAGCTCCTAAATGGGTCAGTTTGCATCGGAGGTTTGACCGCAGGCAGGAGGGCTCTGAAGCAGAAATCTGAGAGCACATTCCATGTGTGCCAGTAGCGAAGGTGAAGCCAAACAGCTGCTGATTGAATGGCCATTTTACATGTGGACTGATAAGCTGCGCTGAGTTCGTGGTGCACCGCAGAGTCAAGTCGAATGAAGCAGCGACTTGATGGCATGGAGTTCTGGTTTAGAAGGGAATTCAATGAAGGAAAAACACACATGAAAGCTATCATTTTGTTGGTGATAAGCTACGGGAGTTTCCCAAAATTATGGGTACCTTTTTGGGGGTCAGGGTTATAAGGACTACGGTATATTGGGGTCTATATTGGGGTACCTTAATTTTGGGAAACTACCATATAAACCCCCCCCACACCCAGTTTCCACTTCATTTTCCTCTCTCTTATCCATTTGATTTTCCATTATTGGGGTATTATCCCTGAAAGAGTGAAAACCCCAAGCCCTAGACCCTGAACCAAAACGCCTCTAGGACTCATTCCTGCAAGTCTTGGTTTAGGGTTCAGAGTTTTGGAGAACAGCGGCTGCTGTGATGATCGCGGCGTTTGTCGACCAGTAGTCAATTCTATCTTGTTCCTGCTTCATTCTTCTCAGTGGAGTTGTCTGAGTAGTTGGCATAATGATCTCCATAACCCTAAACCCTAAACCCATCAGAAAAGTTGCCTGGGGTTGTTAAAAAGCATATTCCTGCTGCCTTCAGTAGCATCATCCGTGCCAACTTGAGACCTCAAGGGGTTTAGGGTTTAGGGTTAGACTGGAAAACTCGGGAAAACTCTGATGTAGCTGGGGCATATCTTTGAAGCTCGCAGGGCCATTCACTTGTTTTCCCACACCAGTTTCTATCGGGGATCCTACACCCTAAGCCCCAAATAGTAGTTTCCATTTTGTTCTCCTCTATTCCTTTACGGCCCCATAATTAAAACCCCTTCGTTGCCCCTATATTCACCTTACCCCTATTTAGTAGTTTCCATTCTTTTCCAGTTTCCCAACTGGCCCAATATAACCCTATAAAACCTAATATGACCCTATGTAATTCTCTATTACCTGATATCTCCCCTTATAGCCCTATATTACCTTATATATCCCTGTATAACCCTATATGAGCTATAGTCTAAACTCCCTATAGGGGGGTTATATGGGGGATTACTATAGGGGTTATTAAGGGGGATACTAGGAGTTTAGACTATAACCTCTATAATCCCCTACATAATCCTAAAGATAGCAGTTTCCATTTAATTTTCCATGTTCTTTTCCATTT